GAACCTTGGTTAGTGTATGATTATTTTCTAAGCTTTCATTTTTCAATCTTTTCTATTATGACTAGTGCATTTTGAGTCATAGCTGCAAATAATTTCTTCTTCATTTCCACCCTAAGATTAGAAAATCTAGCTGGGCATGGTCATGCCTATAATCCCAGCACTTGGGAGGCTGAAGCAGGAGGATCACTGTGAGTTCAAGACCAGCCTGGACTACATAGTGAGTTCCAGGTCAGTCTCAACTACATAGTAAGACCCTGTCTCAAAAAAAAAAAAAAGTTTAGAAAATCTGCTCAAGCTTTATTCAGTTTTTTTTCACATTTAAATTTTGGATTCATTTGCATTACTAGACTAAAAAGAAAGAATATAGATGAATACATTTCAAATATTTCTTTCCAAACTGGTTTTTTATTTAAATACAATCTTAACCTGCACATAAATTGATGATGATTCATTTATTTCTTTTTTTTTTTAAACACCTCTCCATATACACCTTGCATTTGTGGGGCAGGTGTAAGACCTAAAGTCTCACTTCCACTCCACGGAGCGTGGACAGCCGAAAGGCCTCCACGAGGCTGGGCCCTAACACCCAGCGAGGCTCCGGGAACACGACAGAGAACCGAGAAACCCAGGAAGGAACACACCAGCCTAGATAGTAAAAGACCTTTATTAGTCTGGCCAGACGGCACTCCCGGAGCCAGGTGGCTCAGAGAGGCAACTGCTCAGGGGCTGAGGTACTTTTTATAAGGTTTTTCTAAACAAAGAGTCAGGGAATTCACAGAACAAGACTGCAAACACATTGCTTATCTTATGCAGGAAATGTTCTAGGGTCACCTTTTGTCAAACCATTTGCCCCTGGGCGGGCTGTTAACCAAGGTAGCAATTAGCATATGAAGAAGCACAGTCTGGCCTATTAGCATGGAGTCACTTTAGCCTATTCAAGTCTTACAGCAGGCACAGCGCCACTGAGCTAAATCCTCAGCCCTTATCTATTTCTTATCTGTGAGAGAGTATCTTTTTTGTCTGTCTTGTACTCAATAACTACAATTGAAGATGATGATACAATGTGTATTAACTCTTATTATTCTCTTAATAGTTTATGAAATTTTGTTTTATTTTTTCATGAAAAAATGATGGTGGAGAGCTGCCCTGAAGGTGACCTTCATTCTACCCCCTCAGACTTCATGGCTCTGCATGGAATCCTGCAGATTTAGTTTTAGTGTTTGATACTGGGGAATGAACTCAGGACCTGTGCTTATAAGGCAGGCATGGCACCATTGAGCTAAATCCCTGGCCCTGTTCTGCAGATCTACTGCAAAACAATAACTAAACTAAATGTTTTGATGAGCAAAAAGTTAAAAGGACTTTCCCACTTAGAATTCAGTATTATTTGTTGAAGGGGAGATAGGACTGGAGAGGATTCAGTAATTCATTCCTGAACAGGATCTTTGGTCTTACAGATAATTCATTTTGGATAGCTGCTCAATTGAAAAGATCTCATAGTTATACTATGTTCTGACTGGTATAGAGAAGAAAGCACAGGTCTTTTAGTTACATATGTGATACAGGGCACCTATTAATCCAAATTATTGCAGTTAGGTAAATTAATCCGATATCTTTCTTTGTTTGTTTGTTTTTTGAGACAGGGTCTCACTATGTTGTTCAGACTGCTCTGGAACTCATTATGTAGCCCGGGGTGGTCTCGAACTCAGAGATCCTCTTCTTTCCTCAGCCTCCTTAGTGCTGGGATTACAGGCGTGCGCCACCATGCCCGGCTTAGTTAGATATTTTATAGGCAGGCAGACAAGGCCAGCCCAGGAGGAGCCAACTAAGAGGACAGTCAAGGAGCCATCATGGAGGACACATTCACTGTAGGCCAGCATTGTAAAAGGAGAGAGACTACCACACCCATGTAGGATGAATAGCAGTGATTGATATTCTAAATAAGAATCAGTCATCTGGTTGGGGGACCAAGATCTTCCAGGAAAGATCCCTGGCCCAGACCCTTATCACCAAAAATCTTTGCTTATTCCTTGTATTCTTGCTACATGATTGTTTCCCCATTGGAACCCCATTTAATCATTACCTAAACTGTGAAAGACAACCCGACTCCACGTTGAGCCTCACCACCATTATACTCTTGTGTTGGACAAAGCACCCAAAACCCACATCCTGATTGGCAGAAAACTTGCTGCAGTTGCAGGTTTTTCTCACCCAGTGTGTGAAACTTCCTCTTCCTCCATTAACCTGGCATGGTTCTGCTTCTGTAAAACTCTGCTTGCTCTCCCCTTGACCCTCCCCAACTGAAAGCACGACTTAAAGGCAAAATCAAACTGTTTCTTGGGCCTGAGAGTTCTTTCCAGGCACTAGCCCCTCTTGGTTGACGGCTTTAAATAAATGGACTTGAATCTGACTCAGAATGTGGCACATCTATGGTCTTGACTTGTTCAGGTACAACAAAGTGACAATACTTGTCAAAATTTTATTGGTTGTTCTTAGTTTTGTCCACCTTTTGATTTCTCATTGGATCAGTATTACCTAAGCGACTGTTACCTAAGCTAACTCTCCTCATGGCTGTTTATGAAACATTTTGAAAAGTTGAGTGAGCAGGCAATCCACCTTCTGGCACCCCCCTTGTGTCCTCTTAGAAGTTTTCTTTCTCTCAATAAAATTTTCTTACCCTCTCTCTCTTTTTTTTTGTTTTTTTCAGACAGGGTCTCACTATGTAATGAGACTGACCTGAAACTCACTATGTAGCTCAGGCTGGTCGCAAACTCACAGTGATTCTCCTGCCTCAGCCTCCCGAGTGCAAGGACTATAGGCGTGTGCCACCATGCCAGGCCTTTTTCTTTTTCTGGTACCAGGGACTGAACTTGGGTCCTTGTGCTTGTGAGGCAGGCAGTGGAACTACTGAGTTAAATCCCCGGCTCCCTATTCTTAACTTCCATCGTTCCTAGAATTCATTCTTCAGTTTTAGAGAACATGAACTTGCACTTTGGATTTGTAGCAGGTTTGGGAGTTACATCTCTTCCCCCTATATCAAAATAAGCCAAAATAATCCAAACAAGGGAAATATTATAACTTCCAACCTGCTAGTTATTCAAAATGCGAGTTCGTGTCCTGTAAAATCAAATAATGAATTCTAGGAACAACACAACAGAGTTTTGAAAGATAGCATTTATTTATTGAAAGAGACAGAAGGGAGACCAGAAAGTAGGTTACCCACCCACCCGACTTTTCAAAGGTTTTTATAGGGCAAAACCTTGTGGTGAGGTGGGTACAAAGTGGAATAAAACTATAAGACCCAATGGAAGAATCACAAGGTGGGCATGAAGTGGGGCAAAACCATGACCAACCAGTAACATTACAAGTACAGTCACCCAGGTAATATTGATAAAATGGGGATCAAATAGGAAAACAAGACACATAGCAAGTGTGCAGTGAACAAGGGATTTCCAGAAAGGAAATGGGCTAGGGATATTGATACCTATTTAGAATATCAACCACTGCTATTTATCCCAGGGGAAGTAGGTGGGTGTAGTATCTTTTCTCTCTTTATAATGCTACACTTGATCTTAGCCAAAAGGCTGAGAAGCGATTATCTCTTTTTATAATGCTGACCAGTGAATGTGCCACAATTGTTTTCTATGCTGAGGGCCCAGCTATGTCCACCTTCCTTAAAACAATTTCTAATTTAGCTATCTGCAATACATGGATTATAACCCTGAATGCTTATTAGACATACAACCAACCACAGGCAAGTCATTTGTGTCAGGGCTGGCGTAAACCAACAGGGACAAAGCAAGCATTCTGCTTTCAGCAAACAACAGCAGCTTCTCAGTAAATAGGGTAAATGGACTCAAAATGAAGTATACAACCACCCGGTGCTGAGAAGTCCAGCAATTATCTACACACGTGAGCAGACTGTCTTTGAGCATCCAAGTCATAAACATCTTACCCAATTCCTTAGCCTCTTCAATACTTATATAAGCCCAATTCCTTTCCCAGTTAGTTTCTAATTTCTCTCTCCTGGTGTTAGCCCATCCACTCACAGATGAAATCTCTTCCAGTTAGCTGCTGCTATTTCTCTCTCCCAATGTCAGCTCATCCACACGTGGATGTGACAAAAGGCTTTTCCCATCTAGCTGCTAGAATCTCATTTTATTCTCTGTTCACTGCAATTAACTTTTCTTTGAAAGCCTATTTTTTTGACAAGTTGATTTAAGATTTTTTTTCTCTCATTGAGTTTATTGGTACATTTTAGGTATACAGTACAGTTACATTCATCATTGGGAAAGTGGATTTTTTTATAACAATTTAATAATGTATTTGTCAGTTTGCATTAGTATAACAAGATATCCTAACCAGTTTAACTCTAACACACACACACACACACACACACACACACACACACACACACAGAATTTATTTAGCTCCATTCTAGAGGCTCAGAGCCCCAGACTGCGTACTCTGGAGCCTTGGAGCCCCAGCCCAGTCCAGTACCTCCCACCTCAGGAGCCGGAGACCAAGAGGGACGCCACATCCTGCCCAGAGTACGCACCACTAGGACTGAGTGCTGGCAGCAAAGGAAGCCAGAGTTTCGGGGATCTAGAGCGCTATTAACAGCCCCAGGAAATCCAACTGCACCGCCGAAGAGGGGCGCAGATAAGGACTGCCTGATTCATTTTCGAACGCCCGCCAATCGCAGCGTGCGATGCTGTAAGCAGAGGTTGGACTCGCAAAGCACCCTTTCAGGAGAAGGCGGCGCGCG